ACAGAAAGAGCGGGGTGGATATAAATCTGTGCGCGGGCACGACCCCGTCGTCAGATAATTTTCAGGGAATTAATTTAACGGGTACTCCCTATCGCTTCGCGATAAAAATGGAACAACGCGCGGGGAAAAGGTTATTGCACGATAAAAATAGATCCGACTTCCATGATATCTTTGCCCTGGACACACAGGATTGTTCTCCTGGTTACCAAAAAGAAGAGGGGCGGAAGGGAGGAACGAAAAAAAAAAAAGAAGAAAAATAGAGAGATCGAAAAACCGTTCCTCTGTTACGAAGAACAATCGTCGCAGTCGTTTCTACCTTTTCACGGCTGACACTGAAACTAGCAAAGCAATCGAAACGAACGGCCGAACGTACATATTTCTTTCGAACTAATTGCCGGAATTCATAATCGCGAAATTTCTCGCATTACAAAGAGTACTGGTTGATAAACCGTGAAAGTAAAAAGAAATTACACTAGGTACGATATAACTGTATCAATCGCAAAGAAAAGTCACGGATTCGTCGTACACGGATTCTTGCACGACTGATTAAACATTCGAGACGTCACGAGCCCCAACAATTTTCACACGCCACACACACACACACACACACACACCGTAACGTCATTTAACGTTAAAAAAAAGAACGGAAGAAGAAGAAGAAAAAGAGAATCCGCGAAGGTAACAAGTTGCGGCTTTTCGAGGAGGGTGATATCGGATAAGGACGTGTCGCGAGGCGATGATCCGTGCGCTGAAGTTCACAAAAGAACCGGGCGGGGGGAAGGTTGAACAGGCGAGAAGGTTGAGCGCTAGCAAAAGGAGGAGGAGGAATAAAGAGATAGAGACGCACGCACACACACACACACATACACACAGGGTGAGAGAGAGAAGAAGATCGCGCACGACAGAGAAATAGAACGAGGGAGAGAGAGAGAGAGGGAGAGAAAAAATTGAAACGACGCTCGGATTTACGCGGCACGTTACCCTAATGAAAATCGCGGAGGATGAATTGTGGGGGGGGGGGGGGGGGGGGAGAAGGTGGCTGGTTGAAATACACAGGGGTGGAATTAGAATATCAGAGACACGTTCGCAATCTGTACATACGTTACACCAACACTCCTGCCCCTCAGACTGTACGTATATAATACTTGTCGGTAGTTGACAAACCCTCGACATCAATTTCTCTCTCTGTCTCTAATTCCCCCCTTCTCTGTCCCTTCCCCTTTTCCCTTTACCTACCCTTCACTCTCCGCCCTTCCTCTGTTGCCCTTTCCGTCTCTCTATCCCACGCTCTATCTCTCTCTCCGTCTCTCATTCTCCCTTTTCACCCTCTCCCTATCTATGTCTACCTCTCTCTGTCTATCCACCCCATTCTCCATCTCCCTCTCTTCGTTTACTTTGGAGATATCGATTACCGGCTCAACTCCCAACCCCCATCAACCCCTCTGTCACCTCGAACCACCCCCCTTATCCAACTCCCACTGGCACCCCACCCGCTTTGCACCCTCCTACACCCACCTACCACCCAAGCGCCAACCACTCGGCCCAGCTTGCTGCTTGGTTGCTTGCACGGTGTCACATCGGTGTAGCAGTTTACAGAGATGGTACAGTTCGCGACAATTACGATCAAACGTACAGTTAACATCGGCGTACGATCTCGCGAGCGGCGGGGATGAGGGATTGCGATGGAAGTCGTGTCGCCTAACTGCTCCTCGCTGTCGGATCGATCATCCTACGCTCTACGTGTATACTCTCTTTCATGACATTTTTGCCGGGTTGATTCACTCCTTT